CATGTGTGCCCTGAGCACATTGTGCCGGTCTGGAGTGGCCCTAATGTCTTTGACTGAGCACATTTAGCACGTTACAGTTCTTGCGTGTGATTTCATGTGTTGCATGAGAAGAGAACAATTGTGTTTAGTGCTTCAGTCAATAGGAAAATGGTTTACTCTTGTACAGTCAGATCTAAGTACGAATTAGTGATGGTTGTGACTGTGAAATGTACATGATTTAACAAGGGACAAAAAATGTCTCCCTTTTTTGATCAATCAGTATTTATGCCAGTTTCCACTGTGCACAGTCGCTGTTTGAGGTTTTAAATTTTATACAGAATTATTGTTTTACAGAGGCAGGATTGAAATGGTTCATCATGGAACATCTATTTCATCTTATAAGCAGGAACTTGTCTTACAGCACGTATGGCTTTTGTTTAAGTCCATGACGAGGCTCCAGTCTTGTTTTTCTTCATTTTTTGTTTATGCGCTTTAATGAACTTTTGTATGTGTGAACAGAGCTGTTAAACTGTGGCGGTCACACAACCGCAACCTTTCTCAGCGTGTGAATCACTAAACCCATTAACCTAGTTCAACTCTTTAGCTCATTTAACCTGCAAGTTGGTTAAGTGAGATAAGTTCAGAGAAATTAAAGTAGTCTTAGTCAATTTTTTTTTTTCATTGATACTGAATAAAATGACGGCTAATGTAAAATGGATCATTGACAGTAATAAGCCCTGAAAGAATTAACATATGACTCTTATAGCTTTTTGCATCGTTAGATGGGCGTCATGAGCCAAAGTTTCCTCTCTACAGTGTCTGGACTCAGCCTTGGTGTCGAGTTGCTGCTTTTTCAAGTCGAATGGATCCAACGTAGGTGTAACGTTTATCACTAGTTAAAAATGTAAGCACACCATCCAGGTGCTCGCCGTTGGAAAGTGGCATTATTCTCATGACTGTTAGACACCGTTTCCAAAAATAGCGTTCACACGCTGAACGCCACAACCCCCGCACCAAATGGTAAAATGTGCAACCAGCTGGTGATGAAATTAGAACATCTAGCAGGTAGAGTCACTTTTTTTTTTTTTTTTTTTACCAAAGGTTGGTAGAGACCAAAATAGAGCTAAACGAAGCGTGGACAGGAACATGAGAAATAAATGCAAATGTTGTTCTGTGTCTGTTGGATTGAAAGTGTAGACTAAATGATATTCTACTTGTCTGCTCTGTTAGGCGATACAGTGTTAGGACTGTTCTTCTGCTGTTAAATGGCCAAAAAAAGAATGCTTCCTTAATCAAAGACATGCAGATTAGGCTGGACTTAGTTCAGATTCTTTGGTTTAATTGTGACAGTCCGTACTGTAATCATGTTTTGTGGGTTTTTGTGGACAGAAATGGAGGTACACTGATGAATTTTTTTTTATATAGATCTCAGATGTAAGAGCGTTTTCTGGGTGCTGATCAGACCCAGCAGGAAAAGTGTCTGTTAGGTCAATGCAAAACCTTTAACAGTGAAATATGAATGAGACTGTCTTGTCTGCCATTAGTGTCTGTCTGTCTGTTACTGTGTGTGTGTGTGTGTGTGTGAACTTGTTTATCAGTTTATGAATATGTGTGCGTAATTAGAGTGGAATCAGTGAGCGAATGAGTTGTCTGAACACTGAGCAGTCTCTTTGGGTTTGAGCGGCTGGAACGTCTGTAGTCTTTCTCCAGCAAGGACCAATTAAGATTAATGAGTTTGGAGGACAAACAGCAAAGGAATGAGTTGTGGAGAAACATGCTTATTGTTTCCCCGAAGACGCCAACAAAAGGCTCTAAACCCAGAGTTAATTTTCACCATCAATAACAAACAGGCCGAATCTCTGCTTATTACTGAGCATATTAGAGTTTTAGCTCTACAAACAGTTTCTGGAGGCTGAGCTGGCCCACAACAAGAGTCGTATCGCTGCAGAGCCAAACCTAACTCGATAGAGAGAAAACTATGTCTACAACACTTGTGCAACAGCCCGACAATAAGTATTACTTTAGTGCAACTTATATTGTTCTTGTTTTCCTACGAATAGCTCAGGTTTCAGCTCTGGGTAATAAACGCATTAAGTGGTTTGGCGCTGATGTTACACTGATCAGCCACAACATTAAAACCATCAATCATTTTCTTACAATGTTCTTCTGGGAGACCTGAGGTCCTGCCATTCATGTGGTTGTGACTTTGACACATACCACTCACCTAAACATTGCAGCAGACCAAGCACGCTCCCTACCATCCATCCACCCGATGGCAATGGCACTTCCTGGTGGCTNACTGAATTTTTAAAAAATCATCAACATTTTGCGGGGCAAGGGGCTTGATTGACAGTCGGCAGCGACCATACAGACGAAGCGAGCAGAAGGCGGTAAATGTGGGCGGGCAGAGAGGGCCGAGGATGACAAAAGAGCATAAGTCAGACCTCAAACGATGGAAAATAATTAATTTGAGCAATGTTGTAGTTTCCCAAGCAGCAGCCCGCACATGAAAACTGCAGTTCCTTCAAGGACCACTTGAGATGATCTCCGAAAGCGAGTCAACCCCCATAGACCCCCATGTTGAAATGTCCAACTTTACAGCAGAGATAAACGTGTTTACAGCCTGTTACAAAAATGTTTTTTGTCTCTAGATAATTTCTGTTGCTTCATTGTTTTTCTAGCACCTACATTCATTATAACTACAAATTCTCATATGTTACTACGACGAAGCTGAACTGAAGGAATTCTATATCTGTGATACGATTTAATTCTAAAGGTGTCTAGATTATGGAGTATTTCTGTCATGGTATGACCTTCAGTTCAGTTTTTCAGGGCTTAGTTAAACCTGCTGGGATTTCCCCAAATCTCAGCGCAGAATACCCTCTGACAGTCTGACACAGTGTTTCACTCCAGGACTAATGCTTGTATATGTGCAGCCTTGGGTTTCCCTCCAGCTGATCGATGACAAATAACACTACCTCTAAGTGTCGTTCTTATCCACAAGTTTCAGACCTCCTAAGACAATACTGTGCTCAGTAATAACAGAATCTCTGTATGTCTCATATCAAGCATGAAATAGAACCTTGTTCATGTAAATGAGTCATTGCTAATTTGACTGATCAAGGTCACAGAGTCTCTTTCTACTGTTAAATAAGACACTTAATGCAAAGATTAAGTCACACTTTATATCAAGTGT